TGTCGATGGCTGCCAACATACCTCAGTAGCTAAAAAATGCATTTTTAACCAGACAAATGAGCCACACTTGTAGACTTGTTTCAAAAGGAAATACAAATGTGGTTGCAATGAAGACTTAAATTGCAAAGCCAGTTACAGTACTACCTAAAAATGTATACTGAGGAAGAAGTTCTCTCCGTGTTTAATAAACCATTTAAAAGCATAGTGCAAATGTTTTGGATGGTAGGCCTCTCATATCCTTCATGGAAAGGCATATTTATTGTAGCAATAGAAAAAGTAATATTAAAAAACACTTACTGACCTTCCTGCTTTCTACTGCACTTCAAAGCAACGTAGCATACAAGTACCAGTCACTGGAGGACCTAAGCTGTACAAATTCTGGGAGAATTAACACATTTCCTATCAACATCTTAATGTCTATTTTCAGTAAGTGATGACCTAGAAGAAGTCTTGTGGAGCAATTAAGATGACCAACAAAAAATCCACATCCATTACACCAGGTACACGAAGTGAACAGGAAAAGAGGTCAATGAGGTATCAGACTTGCAGGCTGTATTTGCATTACACATGTTTCAAAGTGATTACGAGTCCTCACTTACCAGCAAATCTTGTTCTCACTGTTCTTAACATTACAATCAAATTATCCCTCACAGTAACGCTGTCAGTACCAGAAGACAGTATTTTGATTATGTCCCACAGTACTTTACATTAAATGTTGAGTTGAGCAGTGTACAACTATTCTTCTCATTGTTTCATTCATACTATGCCAAAATAATCAGCATAAACCAGACTGAAGAGCATTGGGAAACTGCTGACCACACAGCTGGAGGATTTAGCAACCCCTGTTTACAGTTAACACAAATATTGCTTTAGTTACGTTTCCCTTTTCAATGATCACGATTATAAAATAGATTTTATACTACACACTACGCAATAAACATTCTTGTAAAGCAGAGGCACTCGTGATTTGCCCTTCAACATTCATCTGGAGGCAGAGGGGATCTGAGATGTGTAAGGGGTTTATGTTACTGCGGTTTGCTGCCGCTGTAATTTGCTCTCATGTATTAGAGGCCAGATAAAACACTCGGAATGACAGCTTGTACTTATCCTGATGGTGTTTGTCTGGTACATTTTCCAATAAACTTCTTTCACTTGTCACTGTATGATTAGCTCCACATAATGCTTTTCCCCTGGAGCAGCAGCAGCAGGCCCAGGAGATCCCACAGAACCTTTTCTTTCCAGCAGCAGCGTTGCAGAACCTGACTGCTCCCCTCACCCTTCCTCCTCAGCTTTGCCAGGGAGCAGAGCTCCCTGGGAAACTGGGAAATGATGCCAGCTCAATACTAGAACCCTCTGGGTGAGTTTAGAATCTAGTCTGATTAATGGAATTTCCTCCATATGGATCCAGATTTCCAAGGCATCTTGAAGAATAATTGGTTTTGCACTGCTAGTGTGACTTCTCTTCCAAGGTTACTTTCTACTTAACTTTTTCTTATTAAAGAAAGGAATGTAATTCTACGTCTACATGATTCCTTTGGTAAATGGGACCCACAGCCTATAAAATAGAAGCATTTCTAAAGAAATGGTCCTCACATCATTTAACTATAAATTCCAGCACCAGTTATTTAAAATCCAGATCCAGTGACTTTTATAGGTATTGGAAATATATCATATATCCTGCCTAAGAATGAAATAGAGGAATAGCTTTTACAGCAACCAACATTGCTGAATGTCCAGTCTTTTGAAACATCACAGGAAAGAAATTTAGAAAAATCTAAACCCTTGATATTATTTTGTTTCACTGCTCTCATCAGAAGGACAGAATGTGTAATGCTCTCCACAGCATATGCTCATACCACTAAAAGTTTAAGGCTAAGCCTAGGTTTAATTTATAAGGGGTTTATCCCCTAATTTCCTTCCTTGGTTTTTTTTTTTCCCCCTCTTCCTCCTCATTTTTATTCTCTCCTCTTTAAGGCTATCCTACTACTAAACAAAACTCTGAAATAACACTTTGATTTGCAGGCTCATACATGTCAAACAGTACTCAACAGTTTTGCCACTTTAGCTCTTTTCCTTTGAGTCACAGGAGGCAAACTCAACGTTAACGTTTGAGTGAAGGGCTTCCTTTTTCCATTTCCCGATTATCTTTCTGCAGAGCAGCCAGTATCTAGACATTTCAAGGAATGAGAGAGAAGAAAAAGATTAGATTTTAAAAATGACTCAGTAATTCATTGTCTGAAGAGTTTCCAATTTAATTATGTCTGAGCAATACTATTTTAACTACTAAATGTAATCAAATTTACAGAACCTCTCCACTGACGGAGACCTCTGCCATAAGCTCTTGTGGCGTGGTAGATAGAAATGGATTTAACAAAGGTTTTAAGTCCACTTTTGAAGCCTGTTATTTGGAGTACTTGGCAGAACAGGACTCCTATCTCTCCTTCCCTGCAAGGGAAGCAGCAGTAGGCTGAGAATTTATTTGGAATGCAAACCTCACGCACACATGACACATTTAAAGAAGGTGAATGAGGTCAACTGAATGAGGAATGAGACTGGGAGGATACTTGCAGAGACTGGCTGAAAAATGTTCTTGAGGAAAGAAACAAAGCTGGATCTGTGCTTATGACGTAGGACCAAGGCCAGAGGTCAAATGCCAACTACTCTGTGAGGAAGGTGGTGTCAGGGAGGACACGCTGTCCCTGCGCTGCTCGGGGGTGGGTGGTGCAGGCTGTGCTCCCTCTCACACACCACATAAGGCTCAGAGGGCTACAAGGTACTCCTGCTGTGAAGGTGAGAAATCCTCACCTCAAAGAGCAAGCTGGCAATCCCCAGCACCTACAGGCAGATTTCTACCCTAGGAAAGGACCATAAACACCCAGTTGCAGCCAAATTGCCCCAACCACCACATTTAACATCATCTTTCCGTTTCACTGCAAAAAGATAACTGGGTAGGATGGGCAGAGCTCTGTTACAGAATGACTAGTGAAGTGGGCTGTATTACTGCTTTGAACAAAGACAAAACAAAAATAAAAAAGGGGGGTTCCACTCTCTAGCATGAATGGTTGTTACAGCCACTTAGCCATTTCCACATTCAGATGACATATCCTTTTTCTTTAAACTGGAATTTAGCTGAAATTACAGTGATGAGACTGTTTCTGAAATCACATGACAAATCTCCGTAAAGAAGTCAGAGATCCAATCACTTTTGTACAGCCCTAAATCAGGCAGAAGAGATCCTCAAGAAAATTAAGATGACAACTGTACGATAATGTGTCCTGATAAATTGTCATCATCTTCCAAAGAGTGAATTTCTGCTTACAAATATCAACTGGTAATGTTGCCAGCAGCCTTTGTAATTGATAAATTTTAAAAGCTGTGTGACACTTCATCAATTGCACTCAACATTTCAATTTTGAATGTTGGCTGAGCTCTCCCTTTCCAGAGGAGAGTAAGCTCAGGGAATCCACTCACCTCAACCTATGCTAAAAGCATGGAGTGAGCTACACAGTCCCACTCACCTCTAATATGAAACACTAGCTCTGCTAAAACATTCTTCCAGATGTTACCAAACCCCATTTTCATGAGTACAATACAATCATCAGTTATCAAATATTGGCATAATCTTTACCTGAGCCCATTTTTTGTTTCTACTTTGCATCTGAATGGCAGCAATAGATGTAAAGAATTCTTCTGAAGGCAAGTCCTCAGGTAGCTTTGTTAAAAACTGGGCTATATGAATGAAGTCCATTTTAGTCAAAATATCTTCAAAAAGTTTTAATATTCCCAGCGCTGTACGGAATAAGAACTCTTCTCCATCACGGCAGAACACATCCCAGACACGACATGCCAAGTCTAGTGGCAAAGATTTGCTGTACAATGTGAATATCCTGAAAAATGAAACAAAATTTTCAGAGTTATTGGACAAGAAAAATGTCTTGGGTAGTCACAGAAGGACACAGACCGACCACCAGTAAGTTTGAGGCTTCTCAAATATTTATAACTGAATATTCCTTTCTGGTTTTCAGAAGTACTTCTCTTAGCTGCAGCACACCAACCCACAAAACAATATCAAATTGTACAACCAGTAAGGCATCTTGCTATCAGCCTGGGTCTTCAAGTTTGATTTTCTTGGATCACACCAAGGACACAACATATACGGTTTTACGATGGGCATGCACTGATCGCAGCTATAATCAAAGGCCTATTTAATCATCAATTCAGAGTTGAGGACTGATGAAGTTTCAGCTGCGAAAATACAAAAAGATGAACCTTAAGACAAACTGCAAAGGGAATTTTGTGGATCAGATAAAAGAGATGCGTAAAATAAACTCTTGTGTTCTAGGTTTGATTGACTGGCAAAATAATAATAGCATGAGTTTTGGAGGAAAGATCAGCTTAACCTCTCACAAGTTGAGAGAAACAGCAGGATGTCCAGAGAGAAGGTCCAGATAGCTGTGATAAGATGGTGGCTCATTGTGGCTGAAGGGATGTGATCCCCAAAGAAAAAGGGTAATGGCAGAAGCAAGAATCTCCTCCCAGTTACTAAAACTGTATTTTCATTAACTACCAAGAGAACATTTCTTCCTTCACCAAAATGCTGACAGCCTTGCAGGCAGGAACACGAAGCTGCTCCCCCCTCTCTCTCGATCCAAAACTGGCTACACAGCAGAGCATGAGCTCTCATTGCCACCAACAATGACCCAACAGCAAGTGATGAGAATTGAGTTTCCTGGAATCACTTTACGGGATATAAGGGAAAAGAATTACAGGATTTGAGAGAGAACTTTTCTCCCCAAATGCACCGCACAAAAATCTCTGTCAAACTGCAAAGAATTCTCTCCCCGGCAGAGGTCAGTAAAGGTTCAAATTTAAATCAAACCTTTCCACGGCTTTTCACAAAAATGTCCCTGTTATCCTGTGTTTAAGACCATCCTCTATCCCCTCTAAGTTTTTCATTTAAGAAACTCGGATTTACATTAAAAAATAAAATTGAACGGACACATACACACACATGTATAGGTATGGAATATGAATTAATGTATTTTCACAGCAAATCCTGATAATCAAAGGTTTTCTGCAGTATCTGCTTTTTACTATATAAGATTATTTGAATGATGCATCATCAAGTATCCTGCTTCTGTATGAATCAGCACACGATAGAAAAAAGGGAAAATATATTCATTTTAGAAACATCAAGACAAAACTAACGTTTGCACAAACTCAGGTGACAAGTGAATTGCAGGTTTATGATCCTTAGGATTTTACTTTTTTTTATTTTTTCATCTCATCGCAACATTTTTATAACAAGTGGAAATCATTTAAATTCTGTTCTCCAAAGAGCTAAATTAGAATTATAAAAATAAACAAGAGTCTGGGATGAAAAAAAACCCCCACAAAATTGCTCATGTATGTATTTTACATACATGCACAAATGCGAAAGAACAGCACAATACAAGCTCTTTCTTTGGGTTACTGGCTGATGGTGCACTGCAGACTTTATAATCTCTCAATATTTTTGTCCAGTCACATGCCACGTAAAACTGTCTTGCTACAGAATACCTACATAGCACAGTTAAGACTTGTGTGTATACACACACATGCACAGGAAACAGCAACAGCTTTTCAATTTAAAAGGAACAGTGCAATAGGAAGCAATTCAACTGAGTCCTTTCCTGGTCACCAAGCAGCAGGCAAACACCCAGCCAGAAATGAGTCCTGGTTAAAGATAAGTAACAATGCCAATTTTTTGGAACTGTTTTTATTCTCAAAAGGTATTATTCTGTCATGATTCAGACCTAACCTGAATAACCCATGTGTATTAAATCTCCAACTATGTGGAAAATTAACTGTCAGAAGAAAGAACTATTTATTAGAACACTACTTTTGTATGAGAAGATTTGCTCACATCAAAAAAGCTGTCACATCAAATAAGGTATTTGCCATTGAGCTCTTCATAATTTGGAAGGAAGCGCCATTTGCAGGAACTTCACAAGGCAATTAACTTTCATTAATCCTTGGATGGAATTGAGGCATCAAGCCCTAAGAACAGAGACTGGGCCCCCTAGAACAAGCAATGAAACATCAATAGGAATCACTGCTAAGAATGGATACAGCATTTGCTCCCTTCAAAGATTTCCCACTGAAAGATGTTTTTTATTAGACACCTGAGCTACTGGTCCGAAACCCAGCTGAAATTATCACAGCAATAAAGCAGCTGCCTGACTGAACCAGTGAGAGCAGTGGCTCTCAGCAGCACTGGCACACTCCCTGCACATGATCTGCTCCCTCTGTACTGTGGGTGATTTTCTGTCTGCAGGTCTCTTCCAAACACTGTAAGTCCCAGGTGCAGACAGCACAGCCAACTCATACAGAGGTGTCAGGGTCACAGGAACACAGGTGCAGTCTACTGGCCTCTCTCTGTCTGGAAGAGGGAAAAAAGTATCAGAAGCTCCTGTTCCTCCCCAGATCTGCTTACGATAAAAGTGTTCTTTGAGGTAGATGCATGAAGTCCTGGCTGGTTTGCTGCTCACAGGAAAAACGACAACGTAATGTTATCAAGAAAGCAAAGCACTGCTACCATGATAATCACAGGCTCTGTGCTCTCATTCCTTTGTTCTTTCTTCCATCCTACCCTTTTTTCTCTTTCTTTTCTGCTTAAAAACTCTTCATAAGATATTGTTACCAAGAGCAATGCAGACAGGTATCCCATATTTGAGATTGGCAAGTCACGCACATTGATGCAAATCAGATCCTGTGTATTTCTTGCACTACACATTCTTTTCTCAGGTCTGTAAATTTTAAAATCATTACAGTTTAAAAAAAAAAAGTGGAAGTATTTACTGTGTTCCTTACAACAAAAAAAAAAAGTAAATATTGTGTAATATAAAATACTGACTGCAACAGAGCAACTTCTTAGCGCTCAGCAAATTGGATTGCATCGTAAAATATATCAATCTAATATAAATACTGTGCATGTTTCTAAGCAATTTCCAACCAGTCAGAAGCAACAAAAACGCCCTGCTTGCTCACCTTGCAATATTTCCCTTGATTCCACCCCAACCTGCAGTGACATAAGGATAAGCACACTGTAAATTGGACTGGATCTTTTGAAGTCTGGTAACAATTCCAATTCAAAAAATCAGGATGTCCCCAAAAAACTTTACACAGAATTACAGTCCATTTTTTCTTTGATGAGGAGGCATGCACTTAAAATATCATCCTAAGTGGCATTTTTTGGCAGCGTGTGGACTACGCTTTTCTTAAAGTAACACAGAGCAAGCTTATAAATATTTTACTGGAAGTGCCCATTGAAAATGGCCACACAAAGTGGCTTGGACCTTTATCATAACAAGCACATGGTGTCAATAGAAAGTTCATGTTCACAGAGCACAATCACAGTCCATGTAATACCACAGAATCACTGATCAATCCATCAGTACAAACACAGCCTTTGGCTATAATTATTGCCAAAATCATTTTTCTGAGTAGGGATAAAGAGGTGTTTGTATAGCAGCAGCAGGCCATAAATAGACAGCATGTGTCCTTGGCAGATCCACATTATGCTCTGCTCACAAGAGCCTGCAGAACATCAGCTGACAGAGTGAGAGGCCAAAACTGGGCTATTCAGACACACTATTTCCCTCTGTTCTCTGTGAACCTGACTGCACATTGCTCTTCACAGCTCTTTCACACCTGATCCCCTTTATATTCTTAAAAAATAGTCAAAACCTGGATAGCCTTTGAATTCTTTCTGTGAGATTTATCAGTCAGAGTTTGGGTTTGAAGCACGTGGATCCTTTTGTAAAAAAGATACCTTACTTGTGGCAGGTATCCTCTGATAATCATGCCACTGTACCTTTTAATAAAGCTACTCAGTCCTTGGAGTTTTCCCATCATGGAAGGCAGTGGTGGAACTAAACTGGCAGGGGGGCTCCCTTCCCTAAATTCTCTACCCAAGGAAGCCCAGAGCAGCAGTGCATCACCTGCACAGCTGGGCCCATGCACAGCATTTCTTGTTCTTGGAACACATCCCTTCAAGAATTATTTAAGCACACCAATTTTACTGCCATTCCCTGCAGCACTGGTTACAGGAAGAAGCACAAAGGAGACTAGCTGATTCCACTGTAATTGTGGCAGGAACAGGAGGGTTTCCCAGCAACTGATCTGTGCAGTACTGGCTCCTAGAGCCCTCCCAGAGCTGGCACCAGCTGAGCTTTGCTGCACACATGCCTGCACAGTAACCACACCAGTCACAGGAATAGCAGCAGGCATCCCTCTGGGGCACAGAACAAATGCTCATTTAAATAAAAGTAATGCTGTTAGAGCAAGGCTGTTTCACAAAGATTCTTACCAACAAGCAAAAGGTCTGCCTACTCAATGTGACACTGTACCTTATTCTTCCCTGACTTTAAACTGCAGCCACACTCATTGGTGATTTAAAAAAAAAATCTAAATCTGCTTCCTACAGGATCAAAGTATTTTGAAGTATAAAGTATGCATGTGTATGCACACACACATATACACGTTTATATTTAAATGAGATATGAAAGTTTTACATAGTTAAATACAACCTGCACTGCCTAACAAAATTAAGGACAGAGTGGTACAAGCTGTCTAGCTCAAGACAAGTGTAAAAAAGTTTAATATAAGATTGGGCAGGTCCATCTGGAACAGCCTACATCCCTGTGCAAGACCACAGTTGTGACTCTCTAGGGACAGGAGTAACACGGTAAATTGTCCTTGGAATTAAAATAAACAGCTTGAATATGGATGCAGGTAATCAGCAAGAAATGCTAAGGGTTGTCAGTCCACTGATACAAAAGACTTTGAGAAGTGCCATCCACAGTCACTTCTGACTGAAGTTTCTTTCAAGTGCTCTTAACAACACCCACAGAGGGAACAAAAAGGGGACCTGATGTGCTTCAACACTTCAACAACACTTCAACACAGACTTCATCACTTCAGTTCTTTGCTCACAAGTCTGTAATTTTTTCTTCTTTTGGTGGTTTTTGTTTTGTTTTTGTGTTTGTTTTTTTTTTACCCTATATATGTGCTAAGAGAGAACAACTGATCACATAAAGGTTTGCTCAAGAAAATACAATAGTCTATCTACTGAAACTGCTGAAAGGAATATAAACCTTCAACCTTTTGTCAAAACAGTCTGTTTTTCTACATCTCTGATTTCTGTTGTTGTTCCTTATATATGTTGCTCCTCACATGGCTTCCCCTCAAGGCCCTTCACCATCTTTGTTGCCCTCCTTTGGACACTCTCTAATGGCTTAATATCTTTCTTATTTTGTGGCACCCAAAGCTGCCACAATATTCAAGGTGAGGCCACCCCAGTGCAGAGCAGAGCAGGACAATCCCCTCCCTCGACCAGCTGATGATGCTTTGCCCGATGTCCCCCAGGACATGGTTGGCCCTCTTGGCTGCCAGGGCACTGCTGACTCACATTCAATTTGTGATTGACCAGGACATCCAGGTCCCTTTCCTGGCACTGCTTTCCAGCATCTCATTCCCCATGTCTGTACTGGGTTGGCCCATCCCAGGTGCAGAATCCAGCACTTTTCCTTGCTGAACTTCCTATGATTGGTGATTGCCCAGTCCTCTCATTTGTTGAGGTCTCTCTGTGGGGCCTCCCTTGCCTTCCAGGAAGTCAGCAGATTTTCCACTTTAGTGTCATCTGCAAATTTGCTTCATATCCCTTCTAATCCTGCATCCAAGTCATTTATGAGGATGTTGAAAAGCACAGGGCCCAAGATGGAGCCCTGTGGAACCCCATTGTGATGTTACACCATTCACTGTTACTCTCTGTGCTTGACCTGTGAGTCAATTGCTCACCCAGCCCATGATGTGTTTATTCATTTTGTTCAGAAGGATCCTGTAAGAGAGGGTATCGAAGGCTTTACTGAAATCTAAAAACATTACATCATCTAGGAGGGTGCCTGGGTCAGGTTGGTGAAGCAGGACTTTTGCTTTGTGAACCTGTGCTGGCTGTGACCAATGACTGCATTGTCCTTCAGGTGTTATTCAGTATCTCCCAGAATAATCCTCTCCATAATTTGACCAGTTGCTGTAGTGAGAATGACAGGCTGGTAGTTTCCCATTGTGCCTGTCTTGAAAACTGGGACAGCGGTGAGCCAGCTTCCAGGCAACTGGGACCTTTCCAGATTCCCATGATCATTCAAAAATCACTGAGAGAGGCCTCACAATGACATCAGCCAGTTCTTTGAGTACTCTTGGATGAATCCCATCAGGCCCCACAGACCATCCAGCTGGAGCAGCAAGTCCCACAGAAGCTCAGGATCAAATGGGAGTTTATTATTCTCACAGCCATGGTCTTCCAGCTCAGGGTTCCCCAAAACCCATTACCAGTGTTGAAGCCCAAAGCAAAGGCATTAAACACCTCTGCCTTGTCTATGTTCTGTTTGTGAAACACCCACTCCCATTAAGTAACAGGCCAATGTTATTTCTGAACTGCCTTTTGCTATTGACATTATTATCCATTAAAAATACAATAACCTGGTGATTTCAATGTTGCCTATCCAGTTACTCTCACACATGTTTACAGTCATCTTATTCTGATATCCCTTTCATTCAATTGCTTCCTCCACACACTGGCTTTTCACAACATCGTCTGAGGCAATACAATTTCAACACCTTTCCTCTTATCACTGAACACACCAGCCTCTGCTCTCTTTCTTCCCTTCTATCCTGTCCCAGTATTTTTTCCATACTCTGGGCATAGATCTAGTTCAGTTTAATATTCTCAGCCTTCAGTCAAAAAATCCTTCTAATGGTATTTCTCCATTAAATGTTGGGAGAAATGAGCCTGTACATTACACACCCTCTCACTGCCCTACTCACGATGCATTAATATTTAATCCCAGTGTAAAAGCCAAGTCACACAAAACCCATGGTACACCACCCTCTGTACAAAAGGCATATGCAAATCAAGGAACTCAAGCAAAGGCAGCAGGAAGCCTGTAGGGATAAACAAGGACCTCCTGACAAAACTCAAATATAAAGAGGAAGCATAAAAGAGGCTGAAGGAGGAGCAGGTGACCCTGGAGAAATGCAGAGACATGGCCTGAGTATACAGAGAAGAGGTTAGGAAATAAAAAGTCCATTTGTAGTTGAATCCAGCAATGGATGTTAACAACAACAAGAAGGATCTTCCTGCACCAGCAGGTAAAACGATCGAGGAAAACACAAGCCCACTGCTGAACAGGGCAAGGAACCTGGTGACAAAGGTCATTCAGAAGGCTGTGGTACTCACTGCCTTCACTGAGACTTGCCTTCAGGAAGCCCAGGTCCTCCAGACCAGTGGGAAAGCCAAGTGCAAGGAAACCCTACCCTAGCTGGAGGAGGATCACATTAGGGAATATTTAAATGAATGGGGGATATACAAGTGTGTGGGGAAACTGGGTGGTGTCGTTCTGAGGCCACTCTCTGTCTCCGAAAGACCCCAGTTATCAGGACAGGTTCCTAAGGACTTGAAGGAAACAAAGGTCACTCCTGTATTCAAGAGGCAGGATCCAGCAAACTTACGGGCTGGTCGGTTTCACTCCCACCCCTGAGAAAGTAACGGAAGAAAAAGTCCTGGAGATCATTTCAAAAATGTGATTGTCAAAAAGTGATTGGGAGAAGTCAATATGGATTTATCAAGGCAAAATCATGCCTGATCGAACTTCATTGCATTATTCAATGATATGACTGGCTTGGTGGAAGAGAGGAAAGCAATGGAGGTTGTGTATCTTGATGTTAGCAAGGTTTTCAATGCTGTATCCCATAAAATCCTTGTTGATAAACTAATGAAGTATGGATTAGACAAATGGACAGTGAGGTGGACTGAAAACCAGGTGGCACTGCCAAGCTCAGAAGATTGTTATTAGCGGCATGAAGTACAGCTTCAAGCCAATTCACTGGCAGTGTACTCCAGGGTTTGATGCTCATCCAACACTTTTAAATGTCTTCATTAAGGACCCAGATGATGGGTCAGACCGTACCCTCTGCATGTCTGCAAGTGATAAAAATTGGGAGGGGCGGCTGATACACCACTCCACTGCAAGCTGGAGACACTGCACAAGTGAGCCACCATGAATCCCATGACATCCTGCAAAGGGAAATGCCAAGTCCTGCACCTGGGTAGGAAATAAGCCCAGGTACCAGCACATTTGGGAAACCAACTGGCTGCAAAGCAGCTTTGCAGAAAAGGACATGGAGGTCCTGGTGGACACCACATTGAATTTAAGCCAGCAACTGCAGCAAAGACCAGAACAAATCCTGGGCTGCAGCAGGAGCAGCACTGCCAGCATGCCACAGCAGCTCACCCACCTACTCAGCACTGACGAGCCAGCACTAGGCTTCCCAGCACAAGAGAGACATGGATATACTGGAGCAAGTCCAGCTCACCATGAATGTGACTAAAGGTTTGGGGCATCTGATACACAGGGAGAGGCTGAGCAGGCTGGTACTGTTCAGCTGGGAGAAGAGGTGGCTCAGACCTGAATGTCTAAAAACACTTGGTAGGAGGATGTAAAGAAGACAGAGTCAGACTCTTCCCAGTTGTATCCAGTGAAAGGACAAGAGCCAATGAGCACAAAATGAAATACAGGAAATTCCATTTAAACCTAAGAAAATAAAAAACTTGTTGACTGTAAGGGTGGCTGAACACTGGAACAGACTGAAGAGAATGTGGAATCTCCTCCCTTGGAGACATTCAAGATCCAGCTGGACAAGGTCCCAAGCACCCTGCTTGGGACCTTTGAGCAGGGGTTTAGACTAGATGATCTCCAGAGGACTGTTCCAATGCCCCAGCAATTCTATGATCCTATGAAAAGTCATGTATTCAAACTTTGAGCTGTTGGATTGGACTGATTTACTTTAAATGTATTTCTGTCTAACAGATGAGCAACATGTTCAGTGCTACCAACTAGGTCTTAAAGATCAGGATACTGCCATGTGGTTCAGCTAGAACTGCATTAATAGTACAAATGTTTTCCAAAATAACTTATTAATCTCAGAGGAAAAAAAAAAGCTGTTACCACTGGGCCCTTAATTACTGAAGGTATTCGTCAGAGACCCGAGAACAGAAAAATTTGTCAACAACTTAAGGGCAAACCAATTTTTCACAAAAAAGTTTTCATGTAATCCCAAAATTAACAACAAAGTCTTGCTGAAAACAGACATTTTAACTGCCCCAAACCAAAGTTTGGTAGGCACAAATGCAAACATTCTATTTGGAGTGCCTAATACCACAGTGAAATTTGGCAGAAGTGCAATTAAGATCCTTGTCTTTTTTCCTCTCTAAGGAAAAAGGTTCTGAGTATACTAGAACTGAAAGGGAAAGCAGTTTCAAGTCATAAAAAGACTGTAATTGCTTGTCTGCTAAGTGGAATAGCTTTTCTGTAGTTTTATGTCATATGGACAAATGTTTTAACTACGCTTTTCCTGTTCTGTGCAGGACAAACTGTACATTTCAAATGCAAGACCAGTAATACTTTCTGAATACACAACCCTGGTACACACCAGCACACGCAATAGAAAGAATAACAGATTTTCTCAGAAGATATTCCAAACAGGCACTAAATATGGATAAACACTGCCATACAGCAGTATTTCCAGATAAGCTTCCAACTCAACATAAGTACAATAATAAAGGTTAGGCAGATGTTAAAAATCACAGAAGTATGTGGGAATGATTTGGATTGACAACTCAAGTACTGAACAAAAAAAATAATGCCTTTATCTTGAAAGAACATTAAACCAGGTAAGAACATCCCAATTTCTGTCATGAATACTGACATGGAGCTATATGTTAGTATGCACATTAGTAATTACACTTTCAATGCCTTACCAATCAATTAGATAGATGTCTGGAGTTAAGTTATTTTTTTTGAAGTGAGCAAATAACTTTGGCAGGTTTTCTTCAAAGAATACCTCAAATGCGGCAAAGTAAGTCAACATCTGGGAAAATACAATGGGGAGAAAAAAAGCAGTTAGCTGTGTTATTAACAGGCTTAAATGCATTATCCGTTGTTGGATTAATGCTCTTTAAAATAGGATCAGATGAACTACATGATACTGTAAAGAGCTAAACATTTATATAATAGATAATAGACAGCATCTACAAGCATGAAAAGTTGAAGATCCACTCTGTATACCATTCTCATACTAAACAATATAATGATTGGTTTGGGTCTTGGCCAGCTTCCTTTGGAAAGAAAAATACCAGCAGGAGACAAGTTTTTTGCAGATTTCTTAAAATAAATATAACAGAATGTTTTTTTTATGCTTGTGGCAGTAATTTAATATTATACTGAACAAAATCCGAGACCCAGTGGAACATAATGAAATACAAAACTAAAATAATGTTGATACTGCACAGCAACAGGGAAGAGTCCAGTAGATTCCAGTCATAAATCATATTCTAACAAAGCTATTTTAATATTCTAATCATATTCTAATACCAATGTAATACCATACATTTTTAAATTAGATAATAATTTATATTGCAAAGAGGAAGAGATGAAGTTCACACAGGAAACTCAAAGACTGGGACAAAACACCTGTGCAAGAGAAACAGATTGTAACTCCGTCTGACATCATAACCCCCAGAACTGCTCTGCTTTTAACACAAAGACTTTTGTGCTACTTTAAAATTCGAGTATTTAGTAAAATTCCATAACAGACGGCACGGAAAAAACAAATCTTCCAATTCAACTAGGGTTAAAAAGAAAAGGTTATTTAGCCACCTCCTTAATACTATAGAGAGAAAAGTTAGGCAAAGTCCTTGAATGATGCAGTAACTACAGTATTCCAATAAAAGCAATAAGGAAAGGCTGTGATATCCTCAAAGTATGAGTTGCAGCAGCATACTTCTCCCCAGAACACCACGGCAGTAACGGGAAAAGAGAATCCTTTTGGAGACACTAGTCTGAAAACCCGACAGATTTATGTTCTGGGGTTTTTTTCCCCAGTTTTTTCAATTGTCCTCAGAAATTTTTCCCATTTCCTCTAAATGAAGTAACAGATGGTGGACTACCTTCATTAACATGGCAAATAAAAAACTGAGCCTGGTAGTCAGTATAAGGCTTTAAGTCAATCAGAGATGGGTGTATGCTACAGAAATAACCAAAGTTACGTAAAATCTCTGAACCATCAGTTACTGAGAAACAGCTTCATGTCAAACATGACACCAGAAATCCAGGAACCCACTTAGAGAACTGTGCACCTGAAACAGCTTCCCAGTGGGGATTTTTAAACACATGAAATCCAAACACCCATGAGATCTGTGAGTATAAACAAGGAAGCAGGTAACGCGTCAGAAAGTTCTGCTTTCACAGTGACCTGCTAACATGCTGGCACCACTGTGAGACAGTTCTACTGGAGCTCTTCCTTTCAGAAGCACTTTAGAGACAGGACCTTACACATAAGTGCTACAATCACATCTATTGACAGTAATGTGGGCAGTAGTACAGGTATCTGTCTTGATCAAATCAACAGTCAACATGATATTTATTCAGTGTTAATTCAAAAGTAATTTAGTTTAATGAAACTAACCAAAAAAAGAAGTTAAATTGGTATAAATTACTATAATTTACACAACTAACTTACACTGGTTTCATTTTTTCATTTATTATACAACAAATCAGTGTTTGTTTATTAAGCTGTAAAACTGACACAAAAAGATGAGTGTAGACAGCAGGTCACTATACTAACCACAGGAAGCCAAAACTGTCTCACTTCAGTGTCACTACTCCCTTTGAAATGTTAGGTACAACATTTTCCTTGGGATGTTAAATCATGGCTTTTGCTTTCATGATATATTAATAATATTTCATCTATCACTATCTCTGCCCTTCTGTAAGCACACACTTATCACAGTCTCTATTTAGACAGGTTAATAGAACTAAACAGCACTATCCAAGAGCACACCAAACCCCAATTCTCTCAGCTAAAAAAATATTTATCTTATTCTAGTCAATTCAAGTCCAAAATCAACTTCCCAAGAACCACATTTACACACTGAATGCATGAGCATGTCCTCTTCTTGCTATAATAGAGACAGCTGATACTGCTACTAGTGCTGTCTGCACTGTGCTGCATCTCCCCATGGCATTTACAACTCATGAGAATCAAGGACTGCAACAGGAACTACACACTGCTTTTCCAGCAGGAAATACTGATAGGATCTCTAGTGTCCTACTGTTTAAGCAATGAAAGTTACTACTGTTGATGTCATGCATTCCCTGCTACAGTAAGATACAGGAAACCTGGTTCTCCTTGCAACAGTCTGTTTTTAGCAACCCATTAGACTACAATAAAAAGCACCTTCAAGACACTTCCGACATTAAGGTGTTTTCAGCTTCCAATTGCTGGAATAATATTCTCATAAATATTCTCTGAGCATCATAAAATAGCTGTTCAAAAAATTTCATTCACTTGCCTATTCAAAAAGGTAAATGGGGTGATCTTTGGTTTAGTTTGACTTTTGAGGGAGTCTGCATGTGTGCGTTGGGGTTTCTTAGTTTATCAAGCATGTTGCTTTAAAATAAATTCTGACTTATTTTCCAAGCTATTGATCCAATAATTTTTTATTTCTTTTTAAACTTTCCCTACACGTTTTCCACAACACATCAATTACAGTTTTCTTGCATACTTACAAGGCCATGGTCCACACGGAAAAATGCCATCTGACAGGGTTTATTTAAAAGGTTAGAAAAAGCAATGAAGGCATCTGCAGTATCCAAGTTCAAGATCAATACTGCTGCTATGAATGACATGCCCTGTACCTGAAGAAAGGAGAAGTATTACCATTCAGCAATGACTGTATTCTTCCAACACTTCCTCATTTTGTCCTCCTGATTACTAGTGTTCAATGCACTCACTGAGCTGCTGAATTTTGAGAAACATTCATAAAAGCAGGATTTTTTTAACTCATGTGACCTTTAGTATCACACGCTCAGAGCATGGAAGCTAACAATCCCCATGATAACTTCTTTCAAAGAATCCAAGTAAAACTCCTAAGATAGGTTAGGATGACAGCACTTTCAAAGACATAGAACAAAGATTTTTTTTTTAAGAATAAGGTGTTTCTAAGCAATTCGTCTTCTCCTAGGGATGGGTCACATATAGCCTTATTTGTGGAAAGCTGGACTTGAACCCTAGAGACAAAGCCTGTGCTTTCCTTTTTCCATCAATTACCAGCAGTTACAGACAACTGCAGTGACTCATTTGACAAACAATACTGTTTTAAGATTTAAACTCTTGTTTCATTTACCATAAGCTCATGACATTGTTCTCTTTTTCTACAAAGCCTGTTATGGAATCCAGGCAAAGCTGTCTCACTCTGAGGGTGCAGTGCTGCCATTGCAGAGTCACATGGACTAAGGTGTGACAGCCATTCCTGCAAACCTGAGGAACCAGCTCCTTCCCAACACAACAGGTTGTTGCTGTGCCAAAGGAAGCACATCAGCTGACCTGCCCTTTGTCTCCTTTCCTGGCAGTCATGTTCAGCAGCTCTTGACAAGCATCACATGCTACCTACAGAATAGAAACATCACCTTTCTACATCTGCCTTGTCTAAAACACTGCTCCTGAACAAAGAACAAGCCTCCATGTATAAGCCTGCTCTGGGAAAAGAGACTAAATGAAGTATCTGAAATCCACTCAGTGCTCTCATAATCACTACTTCAAACACCATAAGGAAGCTCATGTAGCTTCAATGGGCATTGCTTTAGAGACTGGTCCAGAAGCACTCAGTGCTAAGGCACAGAAAAGCCTATCATTTTACCTCAACAGCAGAGTCTCAGACTGATATTAACAATAAGTACTTCAAACGACCAATTTAACTACACCTTCTCTTTGACTTCGATTTTCAAAGTATGTATTTTTGAGTACAAATATGTCCCTTTGAGTTTTCCACTTAACCTGTTAAAAAGCTTAAATTTAGCAAGAGAACTGTTACACACACTTTTCAAGCATGTATTGAAATAGAGGAAAGCACACACAGACCCCAACAAGCTTTCACAAAATCATTTAATATATGCCCTACAAAGGATCGATTAACACAATCCTCCCTCCCCGTAATCCTCCCCCTGCACCCCTGAAAAAAAAAATTCTTTACTTACATAGCCTACATCAGGTCTGTAACAAGTATAGGCTCCTAAAATACTGTGCAACGTATCATGGTAAGGACCACCCTATAATTAAACAAAAACAAGACAATAATAATGGCCCATCTTCGCGAACGAAGATTTGGGGAAAGGTCTTTTACCTTTCCAGCCTGCGCAATGGATTTTTTAGGTGAGACACAGCCTGCGCTGAACTGAGCCCACCCTTTAATCCTAAGGTTCATCTGCCGGGGCCAAGCAAGCTTGGACAATGGCAGTGAGGTCCTCAGGACGTAGGTTTGTTTAGAGTGTCCTTCTCATAGATGGATGGCCTCACAGGGCTAACGGGTTCCATCTGCCCGGGAGGGACTGGGAATCGAACCCGTGGTCGCAGCAGTGACAGTCCTGCACGCTAACCACTAGGCCACCAGGGGTCCCTAAACAAGACAATATATATCTGATTATACAACAAACATGTTAAAAATTCTTCAGTGCTACAAATGGTCTCTATTACTGCTGATGAAGGACACGTTCTTTCCCAAGGCAGCTTAGAACAGCCCAAAGTATTCCAAATAATTTTGGCTTTAAGAGCAAGAGTCCTCCAAACCCCATTTATTAGATATAGGTATTGTTCATCCAATACATTGATTACCTATTAAATACTTATACAAGAGGAATGCAAGCCTAAGAGATTCCTTATAGCTCAGCAGCACTTTGGCAACAGTGTCAAGAAAGCAGAACAACAATGCAAACCACTCAACTGTCCTTAAGACTGGAGGCAGAATTCAACCATGAAGTAAACAGTCAAAACAACAATCTGCCACAACACACATAGAACGTATCAAGAATTACATGTGCAGCTAAAAAGAATTTCACATTGTTGACTATTAACAGCTGCCATATCTTGCACTGAGTACCATGACTGAGAATTTCAAAAGGGAAATTTTCACCCAAAAATGGTGATTTATCACAATCTAAACTTTTTACAGGGCTGCTGAAATCTGTGCAGAGAAGGACAAAATCTGATTAAAGTGAGTCACTAAAGCACACCAAAACCATACAAGTTAAATCAGTCTTGCATTGAACCAAAAAAAGGCCAAGAAATCTTGTTTGCTTGAGCTGTGCTCTCTCTCAGCATCTATTTGCAACCCAGTGATGCTGATTCACTGACTTGGAAACACTCACCTGCATCACTTCACCAGACAGAAACCAGCATGAACTAAGTTAAATGAATCACAATGATTAACCAACACATTGGTTTTTTGTCTCTTCCAAATGTATAAGACAGTACGTTGAGGTTACTCTTTTCTAGATTATTTACAGTTTCCAAAATCTTTAAGAACTTTATCCTCTCAAGATGCTTACTCCTTCAGATTTGAACTCAATGTGCTGTTTCAACCAAGGGACAGGCAAGATTATGTAAATTTAGTTTCCCTGAGAAGTCAAGACAAAAGTTAACATTGCTTACCTGCTGGAATATACAAAGACTAGGAAATGTTCTTGAGATATCCAGTTTTATTAACTCCAAGCTTGCTTCTCTATCAGCTGCAGAAAATCCAGCATCTACAAAAGCCAAAGTTACTGCATTTGTAACATGGATCAGCATACATTCTTCGGGGTTTTTTTATTTTCTAGTAAGGGTTAGCTTTTGCACAGCTCATTTATTTTGATGTGAATGCTAGGGAATAAGGCTACAGACAGAACAATTCCATGAATTCAGCACACAGGCTAAGCAGCAAGTCTGGCCTGACCTAGAGCAACCCTACAGTGCACAGTGACCCTCAATTTGTTTTGAAGTGATGTGGGGAAAGACACAGGGCAAGGCAGGTCAGGCACTTCACTGTTATCTGCTGACAAATCATTAGACAGACACAAGCCTGTTAACCTGTGATCCCCTCACCTCCAACAAGGCTTCCCAGTGACTCCTGCAGTAGCTGCCTCTGTGGAAAGGCTGTGGTGGGAGAGAGAAGTCCTACAGAAGCAGCATTTGATGGATACCACCCATCTCTACTACCATCAGCTCTCCTTTCAAATTCATAGATTTTAGTCTTTGTATGTGTTGTTAAAGATAATGGACACTATCATTCACTCTCCATATATATATCTCATACAAAATATATTTCTATAACATTAGTTTTGTTTCTGATATCGAGGGTTTATTGGTATTCTGTCTGTTCTGGTAAGTACAGATGGGAATTACCTACTGCTGCTTACTGAGTAATCAAAAAACAAGAGCTGTCACTAGCCAATGTTTGTACCAATCACATGAGCATCTACACTCCAGAAAATAAAGAGGAAGTTGGAAACATACTAGATGCCATCTTACTTAAGATGTAGACAATCTTAAGAGAACAAAATAGGGGACTTCCAATTCAAAATATTTTTCTGCTTATAAATGGCAGTATATGTGTTCTCCTTTTTCTGCTCGGCTCAGCATAATTACTTACCAAAGGCAATTTCATTTGCATGTAGTTTTATACTCTCTCAACACCAGACAACTCTTCCAATTAATTAGTAAATCTCAAACCTCTTTGTCTGCAAAAATAAATTGCTGCTCTCTGAAACACACCCCAGAGATTGGCTCAAAGCTGCAGTAAGGGACTAAAATACAACTTTCTGCTTTAATTTGAGTTTCAATTCTAAAACTACAGATGCAGAAAAATATTTTAGTGTTGCAGTTCAAATGATAATCCCCAAACTTCCCCAGTTTTGCTACAAATTTATATCAAAATAAGAGCCGTACCTAGAGATTGTTTATAAAGAAAAATTAATAAGTGTGCTTTATAAGAGACCATCATTTCAGTGAGAATGATACAGTTATTCCTTGCTTCCACAAAAGGACATTTCCTTTTTACCAGAACAAATCTTCACAGACGAAATTTTTTGTTTAAAATAAGTGATTTGCATTTTAAGGAACGATTTCACAAAATCTCTTATTCTTTAACACAGCATAAATCATTTGCAAAGAGCATACCTTCACATTCTACTTCAGCCCCTCCTGTGCTAAGTGATCGCCACTTCTCTTTGGCACGAGCCAGGCAAATATCATACAGTTCTGGACAAAGTAAAACAGAAAACCAAGTCCATTATTTGAACATGCTCGTGTCCACTACCTACCACATGGGCAGTGCTGCCCTAATCCTAACAAGTAACATTACTCTCTAACATTGTAGCTGAACTTCTGACGAGGTTATGGTTTTGAAAGACTTGTTCCACCGACCTTTAAATTCAGATTAAGAGAAAAGGAAAGGCAATCCAGGCATAAATTGCATTTTATGTTCAAGTATTTACTTTTTCTTCCAGAGCACGGATATTCAAAATTATAGTCTGAATGGATAATTAGGCACGTCTAGCAAATTCCACATAAGAACTACTGCCAAGGTAACTAAGCCAAGAAAAGCACAGAAAAGCAGCACCATACAGCAGGAGTAGAGGCAGTCTACCCCATTTCCATCTTGGAATTAATTACATATATTAGTCTTTCAGACCTGTATTTTTCTGCACTTGGAAGTAGCACATTATTTCTATTTTCACAAACACACAAACAAAAGTACAAATCTTCCCAGGGGCCTTTTAATCTCTTACAAACCTCTTGTCTTGCTTCAAATCAAAGGAAGCACACTACATGCATATTTATAGGCATTACAAAAATTAACAACAGTTCTAAGTTTCAAAAAGAAAAAAAAAGCTTGAGTCATTAGTTCTGACCATGTCCATCTAACATCAAAGCAAGACACAGTGACAGCAATAATCAGGAACAATTCACAGCAGCAGTCCTAGAACAGCTACAAGATTAAAAGACACTGTATTTTTGAACAAAACACATCAAAGCACCATGAAAAGGCATAACTAGATAACATTTCCTCACACCCACACCTCAGGTTCTGATACACCACAGCAGATATATGACTGTCCCTTTACTATTTGTTGCTTTGTATGTCAACAAAACAACAGTCTCACCATGGGTGATGTTTAACTCGTTGCCAATTGCCAAGCTCCAGACTTTGCCTCTCACACTCGGGGGAATGCCCTGCCACCACAGCTCTCGAACTTTACGGGAACAACACCTGTTCAAAGAAAAACAGATCATTCTAAGAAATATTTCATTGCCTGATGAATCGCAAATGTGTCCTCCTACCACTGCTGAAGGGATCCCAACCAAAATCAACAGGCCAAGAATGCAATTTGCACACACCCATTCTTTTGTATTATTTTGCTTTGAACTGTGAAGGAAATCTTACTTCCTTCCAAGATAATGGCTTATTTTACAGAGGCACTGCAATCACAGCACCCATAATCTGCAACCACACTTGACCAGCAAAAACCATAGGGAACAAATGAAAAGAAGTCCATACCTATGCTGCTACCTATGCTAAAGACTGGACAGCTCCATGCAGGACTTAATACAGGGACAAGTTATGGAAGTCTCCCCTCTGCCCTCTGTCACCACCCTGCTGTGCAAACAGATGTGCAGCTTCCCACCCATCTTTGCAGCTCTAACCCCCTGGAAAAATGCATGAGGACGTGACAAGGAATAACTTTTAGGGGGGAGCATGAAAGACATTTTAACAGAACACAAGCTCTGAAATGGCTGCAGCTGATGTTCATCAATCTGAGAGCCCAGCAGGAGGAACTGAATAGCACCTAAGCAGCAACAAAAGTGGTAAAACCACAGCAATCCGTTTATTTAAGAGCGGACTCTGAACTAAAATGTGAAATAGTGAACGCATTGGGGAACTTCTGGATTTATAAACCAATAAAGGAAAAGGTGACCTTAGTTTTACGGCAGCCAGAACAGATGCATCCTCAAATACTGAAGACAAATGTGTAAAGACAAATACACAATTTGCTAGGCTTGATTTATTATACTTCAGTTCTCCAGAAATTTCCAACAAATTCTGTCCATATTTTTAACATATATTCTCAGGAAACTGAATTCCACGGTTAAGCAAATTGCAATTTTGAGTACCATTGGTTTATGCTGAATGGATAAATGGTGATTGTATTTGGGGGGGTAAAGGGGTGGCTCTTTTAAGATGACTAGCAAAGACCATGAAGGCAGTTTATCAACTGCCTGTGCTGTCTTTGTACAAAATCTTTTAGCACTTAATATAAATAACTTTTTCCCTATTCCTCTTTTCCATCATTTGATTATCCCAGCAGGTACAACACTCTGTAATTAAAGAGGCTTCATAAACCATACAGGTACTTCAATCTACACTGATATTACTACATGAACAGCTTAAGTAGTGAAGGAAAGCTCATTTCTGATAAATGAATAGTGTTCAAGTATGATGCTTCATGCTTTTACATTCTCTACCACAGATCACTTCCCAGTGCTTCAGTTTCTGATTATCCTGAGCCTTCAATAAAGACAAGTAATAAGATTTAGCACTGTATCACTTCCAGCCACCTTTCAGAAAGACAAGTGTTGTTTATTTTCTTTGTACCTGTCCAAGAGTGACTTTCAAAGAAAAGCTTCCAAGACCATTTAAAATTACGCTTCCTAACTTTGTAACTTCTCTTCAGGATAAAGACTCTGCAATTTTTAATTAAAACTCAGTATAACATACTGTCTTACATAGTTTCCCAGTTGGGCAAGATTTCATTGTTCCATGTTAAAACAGCATTGCCAATGCTGTCTTCCAGTTTACAGCGTTCTTCCAGTTGTTTCTTTCTCTTCTGAGCTTCTTTCAATTCTGCAGAAAAGAAATTTTCTTTTTAAGTTAATGAAACCAGAAACTAAATATTCAGAGTTAGCCATGGCTATACAATCATGTAAAAGCACACCATTTTCACCTAAAATCACTGCTTGAATTCTAAAAATTTCCCACACAGCTAACTAAGCAGTGATGTCAAATGTGAACAAAGAACAAAGTGGAACTATGCACAAGGCTCATTTTCAATGGATGAGACAAAGGGAATTGGATAATATATGGTTTCTTTTACCCTCCAAATCTAACCACACTAGTAATTTTGAATTAGCACCTCTGACAGCCAACAGCCTCACCTAGTAGGACAGGTCAGAGTATTTCCTAAGAAAGCCCCACCCTTAGTTATGTCAGGTTCAAAAACACAGCCCAAATGGATACAAGTTTTGTATCTCATTTTCATAAGTATATTACAATTTAGATATTCTGTCAAAAAATTACATTTTTGATGTTACTTGGCATATGGATCATCTAAATGTCATACATCACAAATGGGAACCTTCAGTTCATTAAAAAGAAAACACTTTACATGTCTAGTTTAGACATATTTTACATTTTTGCATTATCACTCAATGCATCTTCCTGCATCACCAGCTACTACTTTTTCCACTGGCAAAGATGTTGGACATGGATTTACCAAATGCAGGCAGACACAGCAGCACAGTGGAAACACAGGATACACGTGTGCACACACACACTGTCTACAGCATGGGAAGGTACTGACCTGGCAAGTAAAACCAACTGCAGAACAGCAGTACTGTGAACAAGGTCTTTGGAATGAACACATTCTGCCTGATGGGTCCGCTTTAAAGCCCAAGAGAAGCTGTGCCCGAGCAGAACAATCCCAACTGCCTCCAATATTTTCAGCTTTGACACAAGCTTTCAATTTTTCTCTTAACAAAAAGAGGCTATTTACACTCTTTGACCTCCTGACCTCTAAACAACATATCACTCTGTAAATCTGTTCATCTGGAGTGGCTTTAGGGAAAATGGGTTTGTCACAGTATTTATCTGGACAGAATGACACACTCCAGATCTAGTGAAGACAGCACAAGGACCTGGCCCATTGCCTAATCATCCTCTCAATTCTCTCAAGCCACCTACCCTACATGCAAAGAAAGAACAGAGAAACTCCTTGGACTACTAAAGTGGATATACTAAAACAGGAGTCACATGAAATTAAAACTTCACTGGTAGGTGTATGATGTTCAAAATCACAAGAGGACACTTCTATTAGTATGTCAGCTGTAGAAAGCAAGGAAGTCCTGCGTTCATATCACCTTTCCACTGTTCCATACTGTTCAAAGGTCTGGTCGGCTGGAAAAAAATATTTCCAGCAGCTCCCACTGGACGCAAAAATCTCTGTGAGTCCAAATTTCCTCTTACTGCAATGCATGTTTTTAATTAGAAAAGCCAGATGGTCAAAAATACCAGCAGAAGGAAACCACCACTACTGTCACCTCTGCCTCATATGCATGGTACAGTGTTATTAAGATACTTGTGTGAACAATGTCAGACAAGAAATTATGAGCAAAACCCTGGGAAAGCTGTAAATTTTAAGTGAGATATCAAATGAACATAATTGCATACATTTTCCTATGTGGAAAATTATATGTTTATGTACTACAGCTTGAACAGGTTGTTCCCAACATGACACTAACAAATACCCTGCAGTTCTAAGTCTAGTCTTCACTAATTTGACTGACAACCTACTTCACTATAGTAGTAAGTTTTTAAAGCCACAAACAGATGCCAATCATTTATTTAAGAGTTACAGATTAAAAAATTCTTTCCTGCTGGATTCTAGGATTTTTTTTTTTCAGCTTAGGGTAGGGCTTTTCAATGAAACTACCTTTGTTCCTCTCTCTTTGGATTGATACTTCTTTAAAAGGAGGTACAGATCCCCCACATCACAGAGCAACAGACTGACACAAGTGTATTTCAGGTTTAGAAATGCCCTTCACTTTACTTTTCTCCTCTGAAGACAAGAAATTCCATCACCTCTTTTTTTTGCTTGAACCACCATTTCTTCGTACTGTTGTCTGTGTTTCTGAGCTTCTTCTGCTGGTTTTGCAGGGAGGTTCCTTAAATTAAAAAAAAAAATTAAAAAAAGTCAGTATTTAGAGTTGGCATGCCTGTCTAAAGAAAATTCTAGGCACTTCTAAAAGAAAAGCATACACTGCTTCTTCTCAAAATATGCAATCAGTGAGCGGAACAACAGATCCTTGGAAAGAATCTTTTTTTGCCAGAGTCAGCAGAAGAGAAGAACACTGACCAGCTATGACTACTTTTATACATAAAATATGCTGAGTAATTTCCTTATGTTTGGTAATTTCAGCATTTTTATTATTAAACCCACAGGCTGATCTTCATAAAGGATATAAACCAAGCTGATAGTTTTGATTTAAACCGGTAAGATACAGGGCCATACTCTCTCTTACTGTGCACCTCATTTAGGGGTTACATGCACAACTTTCTTTACCCACACGTACTGACTCCCTACCCCAGCTTCCTTTTCCCTCCGCTCTCTGAGACTCCAGTTCTATTTTAAAGGCTTGACTCTTCCCCCTCGTTCCTAGAGCAACAAGTGGCACTGGAGTCATCCTTGATATTGTCCAGTCATCAATACCAACACAACATTTTGATTTGTGATTAAGGCTCTGCCATACAAATACAGGTGTTCATATGTCAGAACACATTACCTTTAAGCTACTCATGTTTGTAATTAACATTACCATAAGTATCTCTTTACAAATACAGGATCACCAAAACATCAAAACAGGAAATGACTAACTATTTTGTTATTCTGTATTGTAGAACACTGTATTTTATTCCTAGGACAGTTTGTATCTTTGGTTAATAGAAAAGCTATGCAAAAATTCACTTTCCTGTGCCTGTCAGGTGTTGCACATCAGGCAGCTGCTTTCCATCAACACAGTCACCACTGAGTGGGTGTCACTATTTACGCAGTCACAGCCACGAAATACAGGCCTATGACAAATCAAGATTTGTTCACATCTTTCTGTTTTTTCAAATCAGGATTGTTACTAGAACAAGGAAAGTAAATTTTCACATTTGTGTCTTTGTTAGGCACAGAAAACAATGCACTCTTTTTCCAGTTTCACTTTTGTAAATTGACCACCATCTTTTTTAAATCCAAGTCTTTAGAAATGGTTCAAGTTAGGGAAAGTTTGGAAAGGAAAACCAATACAGTTTTGCTAACTTAAATTCCACCTCTCCAGTTATCTGCCCTATCTCTTAACATCACCATCATACACGTGAGATGTTCTTTAGTATCTATTAAGATTCAACTAACACTTTTTGGAGTTGAAGCTAGAGGAACTATGGAATATTTACTGATTTTTTTTACTATAAAGTTTTACCTAAATCCTACAATTGAGTGTGAAATCAAGAGCAGCCATTCTGAAAAAAAAATCTCACTGCATTTTTCTTCCAGAAGTCTTAAAGCTTTTTGTCATAGGAAATCAAAAAGAAATTACTTAAAGTCTGATAGGAAAAAAAATAGTATGTAAACTGCAAGCAAACAATTAAAAAAAAGATTCTTTAGAAAGAGTCAGAGGACAGCACTGCTGCCCAGAGCAGTTTTCCCTAGTAGACAAAAGAAATGATGATTCACTTGTCTAGAATCTTAAAAATACCTATTCTGTAGAAGTTCCTCCGTCTATCAACAGTAGGAAAGAAAGCAAAACCTGAACATTCTCCTGTAATGCATCACTAATTCCATCTGTGTGAACACTGTACTTCTCAGATTATCCCACAAGAAAAAAGATTTTTAGCAGACAGGTTTTGAATACAACAGATAAACTAGCATGCTTTGTTTCCAGCTGTACACAATAAAGTCTGCTATAACAAATAATCACTCATGTTGTTCTAGACATCCCGAGGTCTTGCCACATAGTCCATCAGATAAGCCAAAAAGTTATTTATATAACCCTACAACTAGACTACTTTGACATGGGCATTTTTCACACTGTGTTGATGAAAACACAGATCTGTGTTATGCCAGTTCTTCACACCAGTGCACAGCTACAGTAAAAATGCAGACATCATCCCCATAAAGCCAGATAACATTCACAATCACAGACTAAACATGACATAATTTGTGTAATTTAGAAGCAAAACATGGCAAAGCAACTGCCAGTAAACCGCTTTGGAGTCAGTTTGCATATGGAAGAATCTCCTTGCAGTAAAAGAGGTATGAAACAACTTATCAAGTACTTGACAACCTTTAACATGTGATGCTGAACTCACTGCAGAGCAATCACTATTCATGTTTCATTATTTATGGAGGTGTTTTCTTTCTCTGTGTAAACAGGACACTGTATTCGTGCTTCTCAATCTCTTTAGCATGTACAGCTTCATTTTTATGCTTATGTTCTCTCATGGAAAATAAAAATCTCTTATTCATGTTTAAAAGGTAGAATTACTCAAAACTAGAGCTCTGCTCTCTTACTTACCTCCTTTTATAAAAAGCCATTGCTTTTATTATTAAATAAGTTGTCATGGTTTGAGATTGGCCCCCCCCTCGAGAAGAGGGGGACTCAGAGGTGATTGGGTGCCAGGGCAGTGTTCCCTAAGAGCCAATCACCACTCATGTTGTTCGCTTCTGCTCAAAATCATATATACACAGCCCAAGTCCTCAAACTGCCACATAAGGTTCCTTCTGTTTGAATAATTTTTCTCATAATCAACCCACTTCCATATTCACTACTCTGAAAAAAATTCTACTTTAGATTTTAAGTAATCTGTTTAAGTTAGGGTAAGCAAACACACTGAGTTAAAAAAACCTTTACTAGGTTAATTTTAAGGAGACCCTCACTGTGGCACTTTCCAAAACTTACGCTGGTCTGTCCTCTAAAATAAGTGCTGTAGTGGAGAGTGGTTCAAAGTCAAGATTCTTCCTCACATTCTGTTTAGGAGAGAGAGGTTTTTGAGCTCGTCCAGTTTTTTCTTCATATTCCTAGAGAAGAAAAAGACAGGGCAACTTACAAGAGTGGAGAACATCAAGATGATGCACATGAGAATTTAAAATGGGTCTACAAAAGTCTTCAAGACAATGCCTTCACACCTCTACCCTGCTGCAGTCCCTTTAGAGCTTTTCAACTAGAGTAACCTCAGAACTGAAAACAATGGCAAATTTATGTTCAGGAGTGAGTTTTGATGTTTTTTTCATTCTTCCTATTTGTAAAAACATCTTAAGTTCCTCTGGCTGACAGCCTGCTTTTACACAGTACTACTCAGAAGGAGTTTACAAACAGCAGATACTATCTGAGGTATAAAAATAAGACCTATTTAAAATATTTTTCTTTTCATTTACATGGTTTTGAAATTGAAGCCAAAAATGACCACAAGCTGCTAGTCTTAAAATCTCATAGTAAGATTTCTCCCCATGCAGGCTGTTTTCACATGCAACAGTTCAACAATGAAACAAAAAGGAAAAAGAAACAAAAGGTTAAAATCACAGAAAGCCCATCCTTGGTATGATGCCTTACACAACCCTACATTATAGAGCTTGTTAACTTTTGTCTGTAATCAGACACTGACACCCAAGAACAAGACCAGCAAAGAGGCACCAAGGGTCTGGAGCCAGTGCCATATAGAGAGAGCGAGAGGCTTGCTCAGCCTCCAGAGGAAAAGCTTTGCAGGGATCTTTGGCAGACAGCAATAATGGGATGTGGTGAAGGCCAAATACAAGTCTCTGAGGCACTTGTATAAAGAACACAAAGACAATAGGCACAAACTTCTACCAGGGGAATTCTAGTCAAGCACTGGGACAAGTCTCCTGAGATGCAGTAGAACCTCCAGCCTTAAGGGCATTCAAGCTCAAGTGAACGAGCCTCCAGAACCTGGTCTAAACAGACTCAGTTCTGAGAGGGGTGTTAGTCCCTCAGAGGTCCCTCCACTCAATTACTGCCTCACCATGATCTACAGGAGAGGGCTTGGCATTACACATACAATTTTATTTTTATTTTTCCTACAAACACTCGTTTGGAAAAAACAACATAGTAAAACCATGACCTAATAGGATAAACCAACCTTTACACAGCTTCCATCTACTCCACTGCTTGAAGTACTATAGCAAACATTAGGTATGCAAAGTATCAGTGATGTACAAACAACAAACACGGTCAAACAGTCCTATGGAAAAACCACATCTACAATAATAGTTACGTCTACATTCAACTTTATAATGATTTTTGCCACTTCCAAAACTCAAGGGCTTTCATGCACAGTTTTTTTCTATAATTTCTACTGAAATTTAAAAAAAAAAGAAAAAAGATAAACGAGTACTATGAATGTGTTATGAATAGGGTTCCAGCCACAGACTTCTCCCTGTCAGCACAAAGACCACCTCAGACGCTACTGCTTGCTTACTCTCAACCTGTCAATTACGTCAAAGCCTCCTTGGGCAAGAGATCCAACCTTTCCAACACAATCAGAACAGCCCGGATCATTCAGCAACTAAAATGGGACCCCTATCACTTCTAGAAAGGCCTGCTCCTCCAACCCTACCTTAAAAAAAAGGATGGACGAAAACCAGACATAAGTGAAGAACAACACAACCTTAATATTCTACTTTATGTTGTACAGTTCAATTCTAGCTCAAGTTAGTTCTGTGGGACTCATGGGTGCAGGTCTGTGCAGCCCTTGGGACACAAAAATCCCACTTTTTCCTTGTGTGTTAACTGGGCACTGCCTCAACAATCAATCCTATGATGCCAGCACTGCTGCGATGGGAAACATGGTCATGAATTTGGAATGTCTGGCTCATTAATGCCAGCTAATACTGCTATGCATGACATCAGTTTGCAAACCAGGAAAAGAACCAAGAAAAATGTATTTAAACTTAGCTTTGTCAAATAAAGGGATGGTGCTCACACTGACAAAGCTGTTCACTAAAAATACCCTCCAGAGAGAAAATAAGCAAAGAAATATTGTAACAGAGGTACTGTGATCAAGAGCATATTCAGAAAGCACAGGCACTGGTCTTAAACTACTCACTTGCATTAGCAAGGAGGTGATAGTGACCAGCGTGTGAGAGCACCATCAAAATGTGCTTCAGCTGCACCAGCTGCAGAGTAAATCCGCTGTGCTGACAGCAATGAAGCAAATGGCTATTCCTTCTCTCCATTTCTATTAGGTGACTGAGTTTTTTCATGAGCCCTTTCTCACAAATTAACATAGTCAAATATTAATCTCTATTACTGCTTCCACAGACAAGGTGAACCTTGTGCCTAAATCTAACATCTTTACTCTTTTGAGACACTGCTAGTGAAAGAAAAACCATCCAGCATCCACAAGGAACTGTTAATATGCAGAAATCATCATATATTGATCTTCCTAAAGCATCTCAGAACTTGACATTAAAATATATGCACCAATGCTTATTCCAGTACAAGTTCCAGAAAAGCTGCTTAATTTTGGCTTAGGAAAATTATTTTCAGAGTCTCCTTTCACTGAAAACCAACTGGAGAGCAAAATTGCTTTGGGAAGGTGAGAAACAATGCCCACACTGGGGATTTTCTTCTGAACAGCAGAATTAATTTGGAAATCTCTTTCAGCTAAGCACAAAGTTTCCCAGACCAGCACTACACTCCATATAATTCAAGAATTTCTTGGTTAAGAAGACATTTTATTTTTGAATGTGGGTGGCTAGTTACAGTATTAGCACATCAGTACAGCTACTCAAAGCACTCAAAAGCCCACCCTCCATTTCAGCAAGTATTCACTGATGTGTTCCACTCAGCACTATCCTACAGTAAAGAAGCCAGACCAGCACAAAAATGGGAGTGGCACATTTTATGAGATTACAAGTATGATTCCTTTGTAGTAATTTTATCCTTTTCAGTGGTAGCCAAACATGAATAAAAATGTCTGAGGATGACATTATCTACAAGACTGTTTTTTAATCAGGTAAAATAATAAAAAAACCCAACCAAACAAAAAACTCTTCCCCACTTCCCCCAAAAAACCAAGAACACAAAAACCAAAGCCCCCAAAATTCACAGAAGACAAAAGCTTATGAAAATTATCTTTTACTCTAGTAAGAAGAGAATGCAATTTCAAACAGAGCACAGCATATGATACAGTAATGAAACACACTGAAGCCTTCACAAACTCATATTAAGACTATCTGCTGACTGAGCAAGCAGAAGTATTTGCACATACAGGCATACTGCAATAGGCTGAACCACACAATAGCTCATTTTAAGCTTTGGTTTTTGTGTTGTTTTTTTTTTTTAAGCCAGACTCAAATCTCTCACAGGTACAAATAATTCAGCATCTGTTTAAATCCTATACTATAATTAGGGGTTACTAACCTGACACGGTTGCAAGCTAATTTTAGGACCAACTCTGGATGAGCTGACCGTTTACAATTTAGAATACATCCTTATCACTGAGATCACTTAGGCTTCCTTCCAGGTTTCGTCTTTACCTGTTTACAAGAGCTGAACTAGGGTTTGAAGATGTTCTGTAAGAGCGTGCTGTCGATTAAAGCACTGATTTAAATAATCCAAACCAAACAAAGAAAACCCACAGAAACACCCTTCCCGAAAGCAAGTTTAATTCCCGGTGGAACCTGGCAGCTTTGCAGTTCAGATGCAAGAAGCTCCAGTCGTGATGATCCCCCGTGAGTCTTCAAGAAGGAGAACCCAACCTACAAAGGGATCCTCAACCATCCCTACGGAGGCGCAAATAACCCACCAGAACACAGGGCAAGTGCTGAACGACCAACTGCGCTACCCGGGAGAGCGCCGTGGGACTTCCCGCACGCCCTGAGCCTCCCCGGGCACCACGGCACGGCAGAACTGAACCTACAATAACACAGACTGCTCTATCAAGGTCATCTTGTTCTGGCCCTGCGTGTTTAAAGGCAGCCACTCTGCTACGGAGCCGAGTATGAAATATTCATGCCGGGCGCCGGAGCGGCAGACACGGTGCTGCCGGGCTGGGGCTGCCGGGCAGGGGGATGGCTGCTACCCCGGGACACTCCCGGGGGTGGCTCCCAGCCCGCAGCTCCCACGCTCCGGCACCGCGAGCCCCCGGCGGGGTCTCGCCTCGCACAAAGGGGATTCCCCTTTCCCGAGAAGTTGATTCTCTCTCGAACCCGGCGAGGCGACTGAAAAGCGGGCAAGGCCGGGTCCCCCGACCCGCGTTCGAGTCCGCGCCCGCCCCGACCCCCGAGTCCCGCCCGGCCCGCCCCGCTCACCATGAACGCTGCGGTCCCTCAGAGGCGGCGGCGCCGGAGCCCCATTGCCCGCCGCGCTCCGCGGGCCTGGCTCCCGCCGCCCGGGCCCGCACGGCCTCGCGGGCCGCCCCCCCCGGGCCGCCCTCCGCGGGTGGGTCCGGCCGGGCCGGCCCGCCCCGCCAGCAGCGCTAATCACCCGCGGGGCCGCCGCACACCGTCACCATCGCTGCTCCCGCCCCGCCCAGCGCTGCCTGGGCACGCTCGGCCCCGCCCGGCACACGCCGCCCGCCTCCCGCACCGCCCCGGCAGCGCTGCCCTGCCCGGGATGCGGGCCCGTGACGGATAACCCGAACCTCGCACAGGCTCCTGAGCATCAGCCGCAGCCTTTGTCTGCCCAGAATTACATGTGCTGGGTTAGGACGCAGCTGCATTCCTGATACACTGGCATCTCTCTCGATTGGTTTCCCACACAGGCGCTTCCCATCCCCTCGTCCCTGGTCCCTGGCTCCAGCCAGGCGTTTGCTGGTACCGAGTCCGATACTGTGCCTTGCTGAGACAGCCTCCGAAACAGTCCTCAGTGCAAGACCAGCTAAAACTCACCAGCCCTTAAACCAGTGCCGAAGGAAAAGCAGCAGCTTTATGCTGAAATACTTCTTACAGCATAAATACCTTTTCAGTACCACTCATGCTCTCTCCACCTGAAACAGCTGTAAAAGATACAATATATAAACCCATTCCACAGTTCTGACAACTTTCACATCACATCTTAA